ATAAACCTGATGTTTTTGTGGATGATGCACTTCCACCACCAATAATCGATCGAGACCCCCCGCACAATGACCACCGGTTTTTCATTTCATGTGTTCCTCCCGGGGCTCGCGCCTTGTTTTATTCACAAGGGAAAGAAAGGGGCCACCAAACTAAGCTGTTGGCCACTGGCTTACAGCAACAGCAGCTCCCGCCTGATACTTCCTCGCAATCCCTTGCAACATTGAGCTCTCGCGCGGGGCCTCCCCACAATGCATGCAGGCATCACGCTCCCTCAAAGCACTTCCTCGCAATTCATTTTGGCGCCGCGCCCTCGACGCCCAGGACTCGCGCTCTCGCTATGTGCGTTCTCGCTTTTCACTTGGGAATCGCGCTATCGCTGGAGACATCCCCGCGACCTATGCAAGACCCACGCTTCAGCAACCCGCCTGCCCGACCTGGCCGCCTGGGCCCGCCTTCCCGACCCGCCCGTTGGGGTCTACCCGCCCGATCAGCCCGTCTGGCTCTGCCACGTGCTCTCTGCTCTTAGCCCCCTCCCCTGCGAATGTCTCTCGTCTTCCATCCTTCTCCCTCCCCCTTTCCATCCGTTCTCTCCTCCCTTGTTGTAATAGCTGCACCACTTGCACGCGGCAGGTACGGAAGATATGCCCCGCAGAAGGGGTCCGGTCGAAGACGAAGAGGACGGCTATCGAGGGCTTGGGGGGTATACGTTTTGGAAGGCACGCGAGCAGGCAAGAGCGAACACTATTAAACTGAATGCTGTTGTTGCTGCTACTGTTATGGTTGAGTCTCACAGATGCATCTTGTGTTGTTTAACTGATGTTTTTTCCGCCTGGGGCTCGCACCCTCGTTCTATGTACTACTGTTTTGTTTTGGGGGGGGAATGCGATTCAAATGAGATTGTTGGCCCCCGAAAGACAACAACAATCATTGCAAGACTGCCCGCTCTGACCTGTTCGCATGCCCTTCGATTCGTTTATCCCAAACCCTCGGTGCCCGCCCGTTTCGTCTTCGATCGTGCCCCCCCTTGGGGGTATATCTTCCCTACCTGCCGCGTGCAATTGGCGCAGACTCTAAAACAGGGGAAGAGGGGACGGATGGACGAGGGAGGGAGGAGGACGAAGCACGAAAAAGATTTGCAGGCGGGGGGCTAGGAGCAAAAAGCAAGTGGCAAAATCAGACGGGCAGATCGGGCGGGTAGACCCTAACCGGCAGGTTGGGAAGGCGGGCCGTGGCTGCTGGGTCAAGCAGGCGGGTTGCCGACGAGTGAACATGAAATGCCAGGAAATCCCGAGCGACATCGCGATTCTCAGGATAATCTTGAGAAATGCCCACTCGACAGCGTGTCCCCTAAGGGTTGGAGGCGCGACGCTTGAATACATTGCGAGGGCGTTCCACGCGAGAGATTGTGAGGAAGTCCCGCGCGGGAGCGCGATTTGGGAATACATGGTGAGGAAATGAAATGCTGGAGCAGTTGTTTTTGTAACTCGGGCGCCCGCCGCCTAGTTTGAGGCTCAAGACGTTCTTCGATTTTAAAAAGTTATAACCCTTGGGAGGGCCCTCCGATATGAGAAAACCAATGGTTACCACAGAAGGGGTCAACAATGACCATTCTTCAAAACAGAGAACTAACAACAACAACACCAGAAACAGCAGCAACAACAACAACACCACCAACAACAACAAACACAAACACATAAACAACGGCAGCAACAAAAACAACGACGGCTCCCGCCTGATACTCTCCCTCTCACAATTCATGTCAAAAGCCGCCGACCCCTTGTGGGAAATTCTTCAAACGTGTGAAATTATTTCCCCTCCAAAAGCCCCCCCCTGGGACCACAAACCGGCAATTGGACCCCCCCCCCCCTCGCCCGGCACGGCCCACCGCCGAACGCGTCATGGGGGAACGAAGGGCCCCAAAACGAGCCAAGAGGGCACCAAAACGCCTCCCTGACCGTCCAAGAGGGCAACGAGTCGCCGAAATATCTTCCGAGACGCCCACGATGGCCTCCAGACAGCCACCGAAGCCCCCAAAACGACCCAAGAGGCCCCCAAGAGGCGTCCCAAGCGAACCCCAAAAAACAAAATTCGTCCCATTCCCTTTGTAAAACGTCCATTCTTACTCTATTGGCCTTTTGCGGGTTCGCAACGTCCGACACGGGCCACGACACCTTCCATATCCTCCCAAGACGGCCTCGGCAACTGCCGGAAAAAATCCAAAAAGACCCAACAACGGCCCAAGACACGCCCAGCACGGCCCACGAGGGCCCCCAGACGGCTCCAAGAGGGAGCCGGGATGGCAATCCCACCAGCCCTTCAGGGCGTAGGTGGTTTAGGGCGTTTCTTTTTCCATCTTCCCTCTTCCCCTTCGGGGAGGGGCTTGCCCCTCCCCCTAACCCCCTCCCCTGGACCTGGACGGGCCCGGTCGCGAGCGGTCAGAGTGTCCAAGATAGCCCAAGATGGCTCCATGAGCGCCTCGGATAGTCCAAGATGACTTCCAAGATGGCTCAAGATAGCCTAAGATGCCGCAAGATGGCCCCGAAAATGCTCCAAGACGCTCTCGGAACGCTCCCAGACAGCTCCAAGAGGCCAATGATTTCCCCAAGGAGGCCCCCCAAGAAGCCCAAATCCGTCAAAAACCAAGAGAAAACCAATGATTTTCGGCTTCTCGCCTTTTCGCTTCCGATGGCCATATGAGGCCTCAACATGGCTCCGAGAGGGGCCAATGAGGCCCCAAGAAAGGCCCAAGAGGGCCCCAAGACGGCCCCAAGAGCGCCCAAGAGCGCTCCAAGAGCGCCCCAAGAGGGGTCCAGGCGGCTATTTTGGGAGCTCCCGAGGGGCAGGGTTAATTGGGGCCCCCCCCTTCTTCGATCGATCGCTTCCAAGATGGCCCCAAAGGGCGCCCAGGAGGCCCCCAAAGGCGTCAAGATGGCCCCAAGAGACCTCCAAGAGGCCGCCATGAGGACCCCCAAAAACCCCCAAGAGGCTCCAAGAGGCTCCCAGGATGGTCCCAAGAGGCCTCCAAGAGGCTCCAAGAGGCCGCCATGAAGCTCCAAGAGACCCCCAAGAGGCCCCAAGAGGCCTCCAACAGGCCCCCAATAGCCCCCCAAGAGGACCCCAAGCGGCCTCAAGAGGTCCCCCCGAAGCACCCAAGACGCCCAAGAGACCCCATTGACCGCCAAGAGACCCCCAAGACGCCCGAAGAGGCGTCCAAAAGGCTTCCAAGAGGCATCCGAGCGGCATTCAACCATCCACCCAGCGTCATCATTCTCCTCATCCCTCCTTCGCGCGGTTCCTCGCCACCCCCTCATCTATCCATCTGGCCTCCTCTTCCGCCTCATTCTTTGCGCGGATCGGCTGTCCCTCTCGTTGCTCCCCCCTTCCCTGATCTCTTCAACTTGCCTGGACATCGTTTCTGGATGGGCTGGTGGGGGTACGAGAAGCGTCAAGAACTTGTTGGTCCGTTGACTCCGTAGTTCCCTCATCCTGCTGCAAGAACCTCCCAGGAGGGTCCCAGGGAACCCCAAGCGAGGCCCGGAAGGCCCCCCAAAGGCTCCCAGACAACCCCCAAGAGGCCCATACACGACCCCCCCGTGACGCCTCAAGACCAGATCGTGACTCCTCCTCCTCCACTTCTTTGACTCTCCCCCATCTTCCCCCTGCTCCTGCTTCTCATCCTCCGCTTTCCCCTTCTTCAAATTTCTCGTTTCATCGGCTTCGTCCTCCCTCTCGCTCGCACCCCCGCTGCTTCTACTTCTACGGGTCATGGCATGGGCGCCTTACTGGTATCATTCGCGTGCCGTGCAATTCAAGGTGCCCTTCTTCTCGTCACGCGCGACATGGCTCGCGTCCACGGAGAAAGCCGACTTCGACAATGTCCTCTGGCACTTGCCAATGCACTGAAAGGCCTGCCAACTGCGCGACGTGAACCCCCCTCCAAACACCGAAGAGCACCATCAAAACCTTGAACTCAGTTTAAGGGATCGGTGGACGTGGCGTAAGCCTATAGAGTCGCACTCTCGCGCAGGACTTCCGAAACATGTATGCAGACATCGCGCTCTCGCGTCGCACTCCCTCGCAATTTATTGCGGCGCCGTTCCACCTAATTATACATAATAATCACGCTCTCGCTTCAGATATCCGCATGTCGACCTGGCCGTCTGGGCCCGCCCGCCCGACCTGCCCGTTAAGGGTCCGCCCGCTCGACCCGCCAGTCTGGTTATGCCGCTTGTGCCCCTGCGCCGGACCCTCCTGCAAGTCTCTGTGTTGCTCCATCCTTCTCTCTCCCTTCTCTCCCCCCTTTCCTTCCCCTGTTTTAACGGCCGCGCCAACTTCACGCGGCAGGTAGGGAAGGGATCCCCCGATGGGGGTACGATCGATGACGAAGAGGGCGGGTATCGAGGGTTTGGGATGTACGTTTTGAGCGACACGCAAGTAGGTAAGAGTGAGCAGTCTTAACATGTTCGTGCTTGTTTTGCTGTTTGCTGTTTGGTGTTACTGTTTGTTGTCTTCGTGACCCCCTGGCGGCCCACCCCCGACCCACCCCGCGACCCACCCCGCAACCCACCCCGCAACCAACACGCGACACACCCGCGACCCACCCAGGTTTCGTTGACCAATTGGCGCCTGCGGCGGGCTTTGTCAGAGCCTCGCAGGCTGCCGACAACCTGGCCGCCCGCTCACTCTTATATGCAATTGCGTGGTGCTGCGAATATGCGTGTATAGATATGGCTCCATCTCTCTCTCTCTCTCTCTCTTTTTCACTCTCTCTCTCTCTCTCTCTCTCCCCATTTCTTTGCAAAATAAAGAAGTACGTACCGATATCGCTGTTCCCTGGACCTTTGCCAGGGTGCTCTCTGAGCAGGATTTCAAAGCGAATCCAGCCGTGGCGACGGGGGTCTCCCGAGGAGGCCAGAACAAGCGAAATCGATGCAAGTGTAAAGTGTCGGCAAGTTCTGCTCCTCTGATGACTCGCGCGGATTGAGATCCCGCCCCTGGCTTCCAGGAGTCCCACGCCCAGAAGCCGTGGAAGGTGGTGATCGACGGCTGCACGCCGTCGTGCAGCAGCGTGGTGCCGCTCGCCCCCCGCCAGTTCAGGATCAGGGTGCTGACAGCCTCTCTTTGGCGGCGCGCTGAAGTCGGCTACACGCAAGAGTGAGCCTGGGTAAGAATGACCTTTGGTGCGCGGCTTTTGGGGGGCCGCGGGGGGACCAAACTCAGGCGCGCAAGACGCTACTATCGCATCGCAATCGGTGATCGGGGAGCCCCATTGTGCCCGCACCAAAGGTCACTCCGGCGAAAGGTCACTCCTACGTGTAGTCGATGAAGGGGGAGGAGGGAGGGGGGAAGGCTTCTGGGAAGGAGACTGCCCCCAGAAGGCGCCGGCCCTACACCTATAGATCAGGCCCGCGCCTTCCAAGAAGCACGACAAGGGGGGGTGGGGCATTCTCGTTCCCCGGGGGGCCCTCGGACGGCCCCGGGGCCGTCAAAGAACGACTCGGGATGAGAAGCCCGTCCAGGAGAGTGGCCGAGACGTCGTGGGCAAGAAATGGCGCCGGGGATCTGGGTCCCAGAGAATGGCCAAAACGTTGTGGACAAAGAGATGTCGTCGGGGATCTGGGCCCTTCTCCCTGGGCCTCCTGCATGTTCCGTGCTGCACCCGTCTCCTGCGGGGCCTCTTCTCCGGAGCGCAGGCTCCAGGCACGGGCCTCCAGGCAGCGGCGAAGCGTGAGCCGCAGGGGGGAGCCCTTGGGGCTCGAGTGGTGCCCTGTGCGAGTGAGCGGTGCGGGGCGGCGAGGACGCGAGGCGAGGGACGGCGTGTGGAGCAGGGGCGCGGGGGGGGGGCAGCCCGGAGCGACTCGCTCCATTCATGCGTCGACACTGCGACGCACGTCCAGAGGCTTCAGTCGAACCTGAGTCGAGCTTGAGTCGACTTATGTAAAGGGGCCCTGGGACACACAAATAAATAGACATAAATACCATGGGTTTTTGTCTTCCCCCCCACTTCCCATATTTTCCCATGTTTTCCTGGGAGTCGACGATTAATTGTGTAAGTGTGTTTCTTTCCCTCCTGATCGACACTGCGTCGCACGTCCAGGGACTTCAGTCGAGCCTGAGTCGAGCTTGAGTCGATTTATAGCCAAACTAACATGGAACGGATCTTTCAGGCAGACCCCGGGAAGGCCCCTTAAACAAACATCTCAAACCGCCGACCCCTTGGGAATTATATTCGGCGTGTGAGATTCTTGCCCCTTCCCCCCGAAATTCGGCCCGGACGGTTGGGGGGGTGCCAACCGGTCCGACCAAATTCCGCCGGGGGGGTCATGTGCTTCAGGAGTGCCCTGGGACGGGCTCTCAGACGGCCTCGGCACGGCCCCACGAGGCCCTAAGATGGCCTCTACGTGGTCCCAAACGGCCCCAAGACGCATCATGATGGCCCGAAGGCAGCCCAAAAAGCCCCCCGACACCCCAGAGGGCTCCAAGATGACTCCAAAGAGGGCCCTCAGAAGCACAAATCGCCCCAATCATTGAAATCGCACATGTTTACCATGCGCGCCTTCTGGTCTCAACCGCGTCCACGACGGCCCAAGATGCCCCCAGGATCGCCCCAAGACAGCCCGAGCCCGACCGAAGGCCCCAAGATGGCCAAGGACACCTCCAAGAGGACCCAAGACGGCCCAAAAGGGCTCCGAAATGGCCCAAGGCGCACCGAAGACGGCCTCAAATAAGCCTCATCTAACGGCCTCGGAAAGCGCCAGGCGGCTCCAGAGCGCCCGAAGGGGACCCAAAACGCCTCCAAGAGGCTACAAGGCCCCCACAAAATCGCTAGGAGGCCCCAAGATGCCCCAAAAAAGTCTCCAAAGAGCTCCAATGAGCTTCCAAATGCCCATGCTCTACGCGCTCTAGACGTGCACCCCGCATAGCATCCAAAGAAACCCCGCAAAGCCTTCACGACGGCTGTGTCTCCAGACCCGGGAGCGCTTCCAGAAAGGCTCCTATGGCTAAAGATCCGCAGGGGCCTGCAGGTTTAATTCCAGCCGTCGTCCTCCGAACTCCTCTCTAGCCTTTTCTTCACGTTCCTTCACGTCATCTTCATCCCTCCCGCCATTTCATACTCGTTCTACTTTTCGTCCTCTCCTTCTCTCACTCCCTCCGTCTCTTCTCCGACCTTGGATGCCCCTGGATCTTTTCGAATGCGCGGGCGCCGCCTGGCAACACCTCCTCGGAGATAGCAACAGAAAGAAGGCTATGAGCGACCAGGACGCGCAGAAATCCGCGGAACCTCTCGGGTCTCCAAGCACGTGGCATTGCTCCCCTCTACAAGCCCGAAATTTAGAAGTGCTCGCTAACGCTAACCTGGGACTTCGAACAACCAATTCGTGTTAGGAGACCTAGCTGAAATAGAACAGAAGGGGTTGGCGGTGCGGCGTCAGCCTTTCAATCTGGGGTTCAGGCGAGGTAAGGGTGGCCAAGCCCCCCCCCCCCACGGCGCCCTGTTCAAAGCCAAAGGGGGGCGGGGCAAAAGGGGTGCTCTCGTACGCGTCGGTCGGGACCAGCAGGTAAGAAGCATGAAGTATGCAGACATTTCCAAGTAGAAATGGATTCGCCCCCCTCCCCGCCCCGCTCGCGATGCAGCTACAGACATGCAGCCCTGCTCGACCTTTACAGTCAGAACGAACTGGCAATATCTGATGGCTATAACATAATGTATTTCAATAGATCCGTTCTTTACGACCTGCTCAACTCAGAAACGGGAACCTCATGTGGAATCGCCGAGACATGACTTCACAACACAAAAATGCTCGCCATCGTTCAAGGACGGGACCATTGCAAACCCTCACGCAGCCTCGTCTCTGTCAAGGGGATGAAATGGCAGAATTTGTGTCAACAAATCTTCCTGAATGTGACCCAAACGGGCGCCCGAATTTTCCCAGACGAACCAGAACGTGACCTAAATCCTCGGTCCGAACTACAAGCGCGTATTAAGTTCGGTCGCAACTTCGGTCACACGACGCTTCCAGATGCAAGTTCGGGCACGTGTTCGGTCACGTGCCTCTTCGGCTATCAGACATCACCGAGATGCGGGATCCCCCGGCGGCGTCATTTGGCCGACTCTGAAAACCTTGATCCTACAAATCCTGAGCATCTCTTAGGAGCGTGTAATTTCTACCTCCGCCGGCTTCCGACGGCCTTCTGAAGGCGGCCCCGTCACCGTTGCACTTCCGACGGCTTCCGCCGACAATCGGCCGCCTTCCGCCGAGGCAGAGATGACAACTCCTCGATCACTCGACAGCGAGGCACCATCCTGGCGGATGCCACGACAATGGACACCCTAACAGTCCTATCATCGAATATAACATGTGTTTAAACTGTTGGAATCATGTTCTACCCATGTTTGAAACATGTGCTTTACAAATGTAAACCATGTTTGAAACATGTTTTAGACATCTGGAAATTATTTGGCAGCATGCTTCCTCTCCATTAATCGACTTCCACAGCACTGTCTCGAACGCCGCATTTGGGCCACGCGCTGATCCCCCGCCGCAGCCTTCGCCGCGATGCGCTGCAGCTCCGAGGGACCACCGCTCCCGACGTCGCCGACCTCGGGAGGAGAGACAAGACCCGCCACCGACAGGCTGCCATGTGCTGCTGGACATCGGCTCCCAGCTCCAGGCGAGGCAGGAAGGTCATACAGTCCGAAGACCAGAACAGCGGCATAGACACAGACGTTTGAGACTCACGCCTCGGGCAGGAGAGCCCAGCGCCGACTCGAGCAATCCGCGAGGACCTCCCAAACTGGACGATTGTGTAAAGACATGCTTTTCCGTTCTGGAACTGGTCCGCCGAGATCGGGCCCAGCTGGGTCTAAGAAGGCCTGGTGGTGGTGGATGTGCGAGGCGGGGATTTAACCATACCCACCGCCTGCAGGAACGGAAAGCGGACTCACAGTGTCCACACCCGGCGCGCAAAGACAGCACTACACACGAGTACATCTTACCAGCACCTGTATCCCCCGCCCCCCCAACCCAACGTTGATGGGGTTGGGCGTGAGGCAGTGCGCGAGGGACAGTCTGTGGACACTTCAGCTTTGGAAGCATGGAAGAGGGGCGTGAGCCATATGGGCGACGAGAAGAAACTGATCTTACGCGAGATGGTATCGCGAACTTACGCGGTGGCTTGCGCGGGCCACCAGCGCGGCACGCTACCTTGGAAACGCGGGCGCTTACGCGCGTCCTTACGCGGCCAGTTGATGAAGTCGTTCCCCTTGTTCTGCCTCGCTCAGATGTCTTCTGCGATTGCGGATGTTATCAGCTCAGATCGTCTTCACTCCATAGGCGTGGACACCTTTTGTCTGGGCAACGAATAGATCTTCAGAGACTCTGTTGGCGGCGCATATCCATCGACTGTCGACTTCCCGAAGATCGATCCCACAAGCGGTGGCTATTGATGAACCCATGCCTCGGATAATTCGGGAAACACGGGATGTGTCTAAACAGGCGTGTGTTGGAAAGCGGGGGCGAGATCACGCGGCGTAACCTCTGTCTGTGGTGTGTTTGTGATGGCCGCTTTGAAACACAAAAAACGTCCCCCGCCCGTTCACGACACATGATCTAAACTACTGCTGTCTTGGGCGGCCCCCCCGCGCATAACAACGAAAACACTCATGTCTGCAAGGGCAACATGTCAAACACATACCATGCATTTCCAACCCGTTACTTACGCAAACCGATTTTGACACATCTTCGGCCTTCTGAGTGGTGGTGGTGGATACTTCCACTCTCCGCAAGACCGTAGACCGCAAGTAACCGTCCCAGCGCTCCGCGGCCGTCCGGAAGAAGCCCTCCGGCTCCGCGAAGAACTGCCTGGACAGCTCCTTCCCGCGGTGGGGTGGGGGCGGCCAGCAACCTGCTTGTGACAAACTTCGGGAAGGTGCGCTCTGGCCGGAATCGCACCAGCCCTTTGGGTGTAGGTGGTGCCGCGGGCAGCCTTCTCCTGCTCCTTCGGGAAAAGGTTTATCACTGTTCCCTCTTAATAAACACCTCCTCCCCCAGGCGGTCGGAAGCCACCCAGGAACAACGCCAACTCCCCCCGCCACACCATCCCTGTCAAACAACAATACACAATACACTTGGGGTAGACTCTTCGGTCATGCTCGTGGCTCCGCGAGCACTGTACATTGCTTTTGGACAGGGGCGGCGGGGGTGTCATTATATTGCCTGCTGTGCGCAAGCCAACCATCCCTGTAAGAAAAAATGCACACTACACTTCGCGGATACATCCGGATCGTGCGCAGCCACCCCGCGATCATTGTCCATTGGCTTTTGATAAGGACGGCGGGGGTGATGGATATTGTCTGCTGTGAGCATGCCCACCAGACACCATGATGGCCTCCCAGCCGCGATTTTGCTTTGGCTTTCGAGAAGGGTGGTGGGGGCCGACATGCTTCCCGATGTGTGCTGTCACGTGCGGGAGCGCACCTGGCACACTCTGCGCGCGCCCCGAACGTGGCACACCCGGCGCGGCTGGACCATGCGGCAAACACGGCGCACGTGGAGCACGCGGTGCATCTGGCGCGCCAGGCGTGCCTGGCGCCCCTAGCACGCGTGGCGCACCTCGCCCCGGCGTCGCGGGCATGGGGTCTGCTTTGGCATACGGTAGCTGTCCATCCATAGACGACCGCTGACCATGCTGAGGCCCGGGTGCTACCTATGTTAGGAGGCAACTACTGGGAGGTGTTCGTCCGAAAGATTAACGAGGATTCAGCCCCATTGGGGGGCTGTCATGCCGGAGTGGGACTCGGATTAAGCCGGATCCAGCGGGATGAAGCCGGATTAAGCGGGATTAAGCCAGCTTAACCGGGATTTCGGACCAGGGCAAAGACAGAATTTGACCTCCCAGGAGTTGCATCCGAACTTCTGTGTTGGGAAGGCGGGTGGAAGTAAGGCGGCTTGCGGGCGGGGAGGGTGTCTTCACCTCTCCCCCTGCCGGACCCCCCTCCCCGGGCCAGGAAGCCTCCCCCAGCGAAGGATGGGCTGGTGGGGATGCGTGGCAACGCCAAGAATTTCGGGGCGGCTCTGGCCCTCGTGGCGACGAGAGCACCCCTGGAGGCCCGAGGAGACCAGAGACCAACCGAAAACCTGCGTCATATCATCGATCACCGATCCGCGATGATGTACGACTGGCAGACTTTGCATGGCGGTCTGGCCGTCACCTCCTTGTTTGCGCGGCGTCTCGATCCGCTGAAGTCCAGAGCCTCCTGCCTGAAATTGCACTCCAATAGCTGGACTGAACTGTACCAAGGTGCGCCTCCCGAACATGCGACCCCAATGCTCAGGCAGGGTGCCCCCCTGGTCGAGAGTGCGAGCGCATTTCCAGGTGGGTGGCGCGGGAACGGCACCAATCGATGGAAAAACATGAAGTCACGCGGCAGACGCACGCGGCGGCTGGAGCCGGGCCCGCAAGCAGGTAAACCAATTGTGCCACATCTGGCTTTCACGCAGCGTGCCTGTCGTCCTCTTCATCCTGTTCAGCCCACAAGAGCATCAATGGGGGAGGATGACAGCATCCCAAGCGAACGGATCGTCCAAAGACAGCGCGACATATTCCAGCACACCCACGTGCCCAGTGCACGTCCGACGCACGATCAGGGTGTACTGTTCGCCCCTGGTCTGTCCTCCCAAAGCGCGCAAGCGGCACTAATGGAAGCGCAATCTGAAACACAGATTACTGGAATGCCCCTTGTATTGCATGAGACCATCTCAAAAACCCTTCGTCTAAAATGGACTCAGGAGTCGAACTCGACTCTTTGACATCCGCTAGGCTTTGCCAACGAAATTTGGGTCTCGTTCTGGAGATGGGGGCTATCGATGATTCGCCCTCTAGCGAGTTGGTCTCTGGGATTACCTTGCCTCAGCTAAGGGCAGTCACCGTCGGGCTTGACCCGACCAACTTCCAATCCAGTCCAGTGCTCCCAGCATAGGAAGTGAAGACGAGGAATGAGGACAAAGGATGAAGAGAAATGTGTGAAGAAGGGCATGGCACCGATGCGGCATAAAACACGACTGCGCGTACTGGTCTGCGGTGCCCATGCGATGCTGGCATTCATGTGCGAAACCATTATGCCACCAAGGTGCGTATCTGTGTGATTGCCTCGCGTGCCAGTTTTATATATTATCGCAATCACTGGTGTGACCTCGCCACTTTTCGACCCCTGTGGCCCTTAAGCGGCCCGAAGGCCTTTGCCTCGCGCTGCTCGTTCTCATCGATGCACAGCGACACGGTGTAGTACACCACCCGCCTCTGGCCTGGCATCATCAAGTAGGGATCCCCCGACTTGGTCGAGTACGACGTGCCCTCCTTAACGGAAACGTGGTAAGCCCACGAGGGGTCGAAGCGCACGTTCACGACTGGCTGAAAGGCCCCCTTCGTCTTCGTGGCCTCCAGGGGCACATGCATACCGTCGAGACGGCGCGTCCTTACCCTGACATCCCACAGCCGCTGCGCAGAGCTTAACTGCTGACGGGAATCTGCCGACGGCCTCCCCCCTCCCCTCCTCTGCCCTCCTCATCGTCGCCCCGCTCATTCCTCTGGAAATCTCCTGGAGAGCATCGAGCAGGGCCAATCCAGCAGTGTTGACGAGAGCCCTCAGCGGGCTCAGAGACTCCTCCTCCCCCTCCCCTTTTCATCTCTCTTAGAGGCCCAGGGTGGCTGCGAGTGCCCACAGACAGGTCCCAGGAAGGCTCCGAGTAGAGAGATGTTGGGGGCTGCTTGGGATGGCCCCTCCTTTGGTTCTACTGGTGTTCTTTCTACATCGCTCTCGCTCGGCCCGACAACAGCCCATAGAGGCCGAAATCCAAGAGAAGCGCCGCGATGGGAAAGATCAGCCCTTCGGATGTTAAGGGTGTTGCCATCACGACAAAATGCTGGCCCTGCCAGGCCAAAGATAAACTTCACGCCAATGGCACGCCCGACATGGGTACAGAAAAGGTGGGGACGATACGTAACATGTAGCACACATTTCACAAAAAGCAACAGCGGCCGCTGCTGGGCCAGGCGACTTAGTGTCTCAACAGACAGCGAGTCCTGTATAACATTCGAGTCGGACGACAGGAGGGTGTGTAGGAAGAGGGGATTGGCGAATCAGCCTACGCAGCGGATTTTCCCGTCGCTTCCCGGCGCCTCACTGCGCCAAAATGTCGATGAAATGGCCAGGGGACGGACAATGCGCCGCATGCAGCAGATGTCGTACCCCTCCCCCCCGTACCCATCCCCACTTTCGTTCGCCCTAACATGTCGAGGGCTTTGGACAAGGAACCCTGTGATGAGGAATCCAGGGTCTGGAAGGCTGTGGAACTCCACTCGTGGATCGACGATGGAAATCACTGCCGACCTCATCAAACAAGGAACCCTCCAGGGTCTGAAGCCTCATGATCACATTACATGATGGCCGCATGCGCAAAATGGACAGGAACTGCTGCAGGTCTTCGCCCCGTGGCGGCAAGCGCAGCGGCGTGGGGGGAGGGGGGAAGGCTTCCGAGAAGGAGGATGCTCCTTAGCAGGCCCCGGCCCCCCACACAGACAAGACCAGCGCCTCCTTTGAAGCAAAGGTGTAGACAAGACCACCCCCCATAATACGCGTAGCTTCTCCTGTCTCGTGCGCCGCGTGCTGGAGCTCCCCTTCCGCGCCCGTCCCCTCCCTCTTCCTCCATCCCCGGCCACCTCGCGTCGAGACAAAAACCACTACGGTGGGGTTTGGGGCACTCTCGCCCCCTAACCCCCCCCGTCTGCGCGTGGCCGAGCCCCCACTCCTGAGCAGGGATCGACAGTCCCTGCATTCCTATTGGCCTACCACGAGATGCTGTGAGAACCCAGAAATGCCATCAAAAAAGAACAGTGCTCTCAGAACATGAACTCGATGTACTAAAACAAAGCAGTCCCATCAAGAAATGCTCAAACAACATGTCGTGCAGACCACAAATGTTATAATACCATTCCCTGGTGGGCCTATCGGCGAGACAGGACGCTTCGCCACTCCTCGCCCCGCTCATTCCCCTGGAAACCTCCTGGAGAGCATTGATCAGGGCCACGCCAGCAGTGTTGACGAGAGCCCTGAGCGGGCTCAAAGTCTCCCCCCCCTCCCCTGTTCATCTCTCTTAGAGGCCCAGGGTGGCTGCGAGTGCCCACAGACAGGTCCCAGGAAGGCTCCGAGTAGAGAGATGTTTGGGGGCTGCTTGGGCTGCACCCTTCTTTGGTTCGACTGGTGTTCTTTCCACCTCTCTCTCTCTCTCTCTCTTTCTAACTCTCGCTCGACCCGACAACAGCCCGCAGAGGCCGAAATCCAAGAGAAGCGCCGCCATAGGAAAGATCAACCCTTCGGATGTTAAAGGTTGTGCCACCACGACACAATGCTGACCCTGCCAGGCCAAAAATAAACTTCACGCCAATGGCACGCCCGACATGGGTACGGAAAAGGTGGGGACGATACGTAACATGTAGCACAGATTGCACAACAGCCAACAGCGGCCGCTGCTGGGCCAGGCGACTTACCGTCTCAACAGACAGCGAGTCCTGTGTAAAATTCGCGTCGGACGACAGGAGGAGGTGTAGGAAGAGGGGGTTGCCGAAATCCAAGAGAAGCGCCGCGACATGAAAGATCAGCCCTAGCTGGGCCTATGGGCGAGCCGGGCCGCTTCGCCACTGCTCGACCCCTTCTGCGCGCGGCGATCGCGCCCACGGCCGCGAGCGCGCCCCCGGCCCTCGAGAGAACGGCACGGGCACCCCGCCGCCCCCCTCGGGGGCCTCGCTCACGGGCACCCTCAGCGACACGCCCGCGCTGTCGCCCGAGGCGGCGGCGGGGTTGGCCGCCTGCGGTCGAGCAAGCGCATCGTTTGCTGAGGCGGCGAGCCCGGGGGGGGGGAGTGAGACGGAGGAGGCCCTCTGAGAATGCTTGGAAGACATAGCTCCAACTGGGGTGGTCCACCACCGCGCCTTTGGGCACGGAGTGGGCGTGTCCAGAGGTCCTTCGCCGAATCCTTTGAGCCTCAGTCCTCGCTCCTTTGAGGCCTCCTCTTCTTCCTCCTCCTCCTTCTCCTCTTTTTCCCTCCTCCTCCTCCTCCTCCTCCTCTTTTTCCCTCATCCTCCCCCTCCTCCTCTTCTTGCTCCCCCATGCGTTCCCCGAAATCTTTCCAAACCGGCTCGGGGAACAACTGGCCCGAAAGCTTGGCCAAGCTCTGGCCCAGCTGTCGGCCACAGAGGCGCTTCCAAAGGGGCAGGGGGCGGCGGTGATTCGCCGTAGGCGTCCTCGAGTAAATTACACAAAAAACCCAATCAATGGATGGTTTTCGCTGCCCTAGAAGACAAGACATCGTAACCAAATCACGCGCCCAAAGTATTGTAATTTACGATGGTTTGTTGCGTGCACGTGCGTAACCAAATCGGCTTCATGTTGGGCCAAGTTCGTATGAGAGGGGTGCATTGTTTTGATTTGGTTGCGCGCAATTTGATTACGAAGTGTGAGTTGGTTATGATTTGGTTATGAAAATATCAAGTTTGGTTGCGATTTGGTTACGCTATATCAAATTTGGTTACGATTTGGTTACGTTCCCATATGGCTACGATTTGGTTACGATTTGGCTAAACGGGGTCCGTCGTGGAAATGGATGATGTGCCCAAGCCCTGACTGGGATTGTTTCTGTCGTCTTCTAAAGGACCCCCCTCCGCGGGACGCGGACAGGCGACTGCACCACCCCCCTGCAAGGACCTTGCGAAGACCATGCAAAGCCACCCTGCAGAGACCATGCAAAAACCTTTAAAAGACCGCGCAAAGACCCTACCCTGCAAAGTCCCCTTGCAAAGACCCAGCAATACCCCCGGAGGCCCCAAGAGGCCTCCAGAAAGCCCCAAGAGACCCCCAAGAGGCCCCCCCCAAGAGGCAAAAATGAAGCCCGTGAAGAGGCCCCCAGGCGGCCCCCAAAAGGCCTGCAAACTGCATCCAACAGGGCCCCGAGAGGCCCCCCACGATATCCCAGCGAACATCCAAGAGGCCTATAACCTACAACCCAGGCGCGGTGGCGGGACTTGCCGTAGGCAGCTGGATAGTTCGTGTTGCGAAGAGCCAAGCCTGATGCAGCTGCATGTGACGTGGGGCATGGCATGTTCTTTTTACGATGCGAGCCGCAGGGCAGTCAGGATCGGGAGCTGCCGACGAGGTGGGCAGGAGGGCGCCGAACTCCCTGTGGGGCAAAGTACGTGTGAGGAAAATGCTGAAATCGACGGGGAGCACATGTGGTCATGCCCGACAAGGCAAAACGTTGAGTTTCCTGAGGAAACGATCCACGTAAAGGGTGTGCTGAAATGGGGGCGGCAGCGCCGTGCGAGCACCTCCATTCGAATCATTGGTGGAATTGCCTGAGGGGCACGCTCCGCGTGAAGGGTGTGCCGACATGGGCAGGGACGCCATGCCAGCACAACCAGTGGGCGAGGTGAGGGTTCCCATGTGGCACGCCTCGCGTGAAGGTTGTGCCGCAATTGGCGGGGAAAGCGCATGCGCGGAATAAATCCCAGTGGAACGCCCAAGCCCTACGGGGCAGATTTGGTAGCGGCGGCGCCATGCGGACGCACTGGTTACGGCCATAGGCTATAGGTGGAGACCCACGCGGGGCACGAGCCTCATGGAAAATGTGCCGACACGGGGACGGCGGCGCCATTCGGACACACCCGCTGAGGCCATAGCTGGAGTTCCCTATGAAGCACGATCCCATGAAGAACATGCTGAAATATGGAACGGACGCACCTGTTGGTGCCACGGGTAGAGTTCCCTATGAGGCGCGATCCTCGAGAGGGGAGTGCCGACACAGGGGACGGCTCCATGCGGACGCACCCGCTGGGGGCATAGGTCGAGCTCCAAACTGTCCGTGGTCATTGTGAGGTGTAAGCTAAAATGGGGACGACGGCACCATGCGGAAGCACCCAGCAGGGCCACAGGCGGAGCTTCTTATGAGGCGCGACTCTTGCAAAGGATGTGCCAGCACGGGGACGGTAGCGCCTTGTGGACGCACCTGCCCGGGCCATGAGTGGAGCCCCCTATGGGGCGTGATCCTCGTAACAGGTATCTCGAGTGACGACGGCGCCATGCGGACGCACCCACTGGGGACATGAGTCCAACTCACTACCTTGCACGATCCTCGTGAGGTGTGCGCCGCACTGGGCGGCGTGGCGCGTGCGAGGAGGAAGAAGGAGGATGAGGAAGAGGAGGAGGAGGAGGAGATGAGGATAATGAGGAAGCACAATGAAAAGGAGGAGGAGGAGGGCGAGGAGGCGGAGGAGGAACGAGCAAAATACGGGAGGATGAGGACGAGGAGGAGGGGGAGGAGGAGGAGGAGGAGGAGGAGGAGGTGGTGGAGGAGGAGGAGGAAACATGCGAGATACTGAGTGAGTGAGACGCGCGGCGGTGCGGACAGAGAGCGATCATTCAAGACAAAATAAGTTTGGGAAACCACTTCCGTTACGGCCCTTGCCCCTTCAAGTCGCAATGCAACGGCTGTTTTGCGTGAGAGCTGCGCTGTTGCCGTTCGCTGGCTCGAGACATCACCGCCTGCTCAGTTCCTTCGAAGATTTGGCCGCATGGCTTCTAGCTCTTTTCTGTGGAGGCGGAAACCAATTCCAGGATGAGACATGTATGATTTGGTTATGGTTTTGGTTACGATGTGGTTATGATTTGGTTGCGATTTACGCAATTTGGTTATGATTTGGTTACGAAAATTGAAAATATGGTTACGATTTGGTTATGCGAGCATCTTCCCGGGAAGATGTTGGATACGGGGGTGTTGAATGTATTTTGATGACTCAAGTGTGTGAGGGGTCGATCGTAACCAAATTCTTCGCGTTTTGGTTACGCGCAACAGTTTCGAGCGTAACCATATGACTTGGTTACGTACACTACGTTGATGGGTGCGGCCTTACAAGCAGTTATAGGTTAGGTAAGTGGTTCTATTTTAAGAGAGGCTTGGATGAGTTAAGATTGGTTATGATGGCCTATAGAGTTTTATAGGAATGCCGATAGTGTAGTGCCCCATAGCCCCCCCTATGTTTTCACTATAGGATCTATAGGAGCTTACAGTGTCCTATCATCAGCAACACTTGGAATCCCTAAACTTATGTATTTTTCAATATTTCTACTAGTTTTCAATATATTTCATTATGTTTTACTATTTTCCATCATTTTCACTATTTATTATTTTTTTCATTATTTGTTTCACTACTTTTTCACTTTTTATATATATATATATAAAAAAAAAAAATCAATACCTTTCCCATCTTCCTCCTCTTCCTCGTCCCCCTCCTCCTCCTCCTCCGCCTCCTCCTCCTCCTCCTCCTCCTCCTCTCCCCCCTCCCCCCCTTCCTCCTCGGCGCCCCTCTCGGGGCCTCGGCACCCCCTTGGTGCTGGCACTCCTGGGCCTCGGCACCCCCAAGTCCGAAGCTCCGAAGCTCCTCCCATTTCTCTTCCTCCTCCTCAACTCCGCTTTCCTTATCTCCACCTCCCAACCCCTCCTCCTCTGTCCTACTTCCTCCCCCCCCCCCTCCCCCACCTACCTCCTCCCCCTCTTTCCTTCTCCTCTCCTCCTACCTCACCTCCTCTATCATCTTTCCCCCCCACCTCCCCATCCTCTTCCTTCTCGCATAACCCCCCCTCGCCCCCCCCCCCCCCCCCCCCCCCCCCCCTCGGTCCTCCACTTACACCATCTTCCTCTTCCTCCCCCCGAACCCTCTTCTATCCTCTTGCCGCCCTCCTCTTCATCGTCCTCCTATCCTCTTCTCCCCCTCCCCCCGCCCTATCTCCCCCCCCCCCCACCCCCCCCCCCCCTCCGCACCCCCCCCCCTTCCCCCATCCCCCTCCCCTCCCCCCACCTCCCCTTCCCATTGGCAGCAGGCTGGATGTTAGCTGGATGTTGTATGGGTGTTGTGTTCATGTTGTTTTTGTGTTGTTTTTCGTTGTTTTATGTTGTTTTAATTGCGTTCGCGTTGCCTTGTAGGGCGGGCGCCAGACAACGCCCGACAACGCAACACACACCATAAAAAACAACAAAAAAACAGCAAACGAACATGTTGTGTTCTGTTGTTTTTGTGGTGTTTTAGGTTTTTGGTTTGTTTTGTTGCGTGTTGTTTTTGTTGTCTGGCGTTCTCTCTCTCTCTCTCTGTTTTATTTTTGTTTTTTTCTTGATGTATATTTCCCCGGTTTTTTTTTGTTTTTTTTTTTCTC